CCACCTCCACCATGGCCTCCACCGAGCGTCGCCCCTCTTCGACACGCGCCCACGCGGCGTCGAGCTCCGCCCGCTCTGCCTGCAGGACCTCCACCTGGGCACTTAACCCATCCAACACCGTGGTGTTTGCGGCGGCCAAGGCCTGCAGAAGGGGCTCTGCGTTCAGTGGGGCGATAGAAGGCGTGGGGAAGAGCCGCCTTGGAGAGGATGCCACGCGGCTCGGGTCGCCGATGGAAGTGCCGGACTCGGGGATGTCCCCCGGACCCGGTTGGTCCTGAGCGTCGCCCGAGGGAGTGGGCCCAAGCGACGCGCCCGCAGCCTCGTCGCCAGCTGCCCCAGAAGTCGCCATCGCCTCGTCCTGGCGAAATCCGACTTCCTCCCGAGCGGCTTCCCCGGCCTGGCGGGCCCGGGCGGCCTCCTCCCGAGCGGTTTCCTCGGCCTGGCGAGCCCGGGCGGCCTCCTGGGCGGCCTCCTCGGCTTCCCGTAGGCGATCCGCGGCCTCTCGCCGGTCAGATTCCCGCCTGAGGGCCTCTGCGGCCGCCGGATCCTCGGCCTCAGACTGGCCGGACTTGGAATGGCGGGAGGGACGCGACGGGATCTCGCTGAAACAAAAGAAAAAACCAGAAGACGAACAAGATGGGTGAGTGAAAACTCGCGTTAAGAGAATACAGCCACGATGGGTGAGAGACGAACCTGCGAGGGGGTCGGTTAAACGACCACTTTGGAGGGGAAATGAGGTTTCCCCGAGATGGTTCTGTCTCCCCCATCTTGCGGGGCCGCTTCTTCTTGCGCTCCCCCTCGGGCTGCGATGTTGGCGCGGCCCCCTCCGGGCGCCTGCTGCTGGCACGCGCCGCCCCGCCCCCTCGGGGAGGAGATGGGGGAGGTGTTCCTCCCTGCTTCCTCTTCCCCCGGGCGTCGGCAGGGCGGCTGCTCCCCGGGCCCCTGTCGCGGGACCCAGAAGCACGACCCCCTCTCGGGGTAGATTGTTCCCCCCTGCGGCTCCCGCCTGCGCCGTCGTGGCCCTTTGGAGCTCGCTCCTCTGAGGCCCCGACCGCCATCATAATGGTCAGGATGGAGGCGCGGTCTGGATCGCTGCAGAGGGGGAGGATTCCTTGGGGAATGAGGGCCGCCTCTACGGAGTTGAGATTCAGCACCCGTTGGACCAATATCTTGAAGTCCTCAGGAGCCCAGTCCCATCTCACTCCCTGGTGGGTCCTCGTGAAGTCTTCGGACCCGGTGTACTCCCAGGCGCCCCGAGCGCGTCGCTGGAGCGGCGCAATCCGACGACGGAGGTAGTCACCGTACACCATGGCCCCTGTGAGCCCCTGGGATCGCAGGCCCGCCAGGCGGTCGAGGACGGCGTCATAGCCATCCCCCAGATCTACCGGCGCCCGCCAGCTGGAGGCCTGCGCCGGGGGCTGGCTCGGAAGTCGGAGGCGCGCTTCGTCAGCGAGGGGAGTGTAGAACCAGTCGCTCTTCCAGTCGTCCCACTTCTTGCGGAGGGCGCAGGGGATGTAGCGGTTCAGCACCGGCCCCCGTGGCTGGAAGTAGCAGCCACCGACTACTGAAGGCGGCGACACCGACTGCACGGTGAAGAACCACCGGAACAGCTGAAGAGATGGGCGCACCCCAATGAACATCTCGCACAGATGCGCGAAGATGGCCAATGTCATCACCGCGTTGGGGGTGAGGTGCGCCATCTGGAGATCGTAGAACTCCAGAACATCCATGAAGAAAGAAGAAAATGGCGGAACCAGCCCTGCCATTGCAAAGGGGAGAAAGAAGACGGACCGCCCAGCGTAGTCTGGCGTCGGGCGTCCCTCGCCCAGCGTGACTATCTCCCGGCCGGTGGCAGATTCCGGCATGAAGCGGCGCGACAGCCCAGCCTGCCTCTCGCTCACGATGCGGGAAGGCGGCAGCACGCTACCATCGAGCAGAGCGGAGCCCCGTGCCATGGCGCCGGAGAAAGAGAAGATTAAGAGCGAGCGCGTGTGGCGAAGGTAGGGCACAGGAAAGAAGGAGTTAGGGCGCAAGCGGCGAAGACAAGGGGAATAATGGCGAAAGGAAGGAAACAGATCCCTTCCTCAGTGCCTTTATACTCTTGCCAACGCTGTGCCCGGCTCCTCGCTTCTCGCGCCCACTATTTCGCCCCCTCGTTTCTCGCGCCCACGCTTCCACTAATCCCATTCGCCCGCTTGCGGCGCATGAGGTGGATATGCGGTTGTGGCAGTCGAGATAGATCATATCGTGCGCGCGTTAATTACGCTCGCCGACCGAAGCAACGTTACCATATCTCCAGACGAAACGAATCGCCATGTCCAGATTCGTGTGCTACTCAAGTAATGTGGCAGTCTTGAAGAGACCGCTCATTGTTGACAACCGAGTTACCATTGCCGATGTGCGTGGTTTGTGACCGTTGGGTTTCTGCCCAATTGTGGAGACCGGTCCCACCTGTCACCAGGCCTTAGGAGTGGCGTCACGCCCGACCGTTTCCCTTAAAGAGGGCGATCGCCCTGGCATAACGCCGGGGGCTACTGTCGGTGACATGGGATCAGGAGTATCATGACTAGAGGTTTGAGGCATACACAATCGCACACGTGGCCTGGCACCTCCGAGGGACGTCGGGCCCGAGGGTGATGTGTTCGCCCTCCTCTTAGTCCCCCCGAGGGGGTCGGGCCGCACCCGCCTCGGCCCCGAGGGCCGAGGCGCCCCGACCCCTCGTGGGTCTTTGCTCTGCGTGTATGGGTTAGGTGAGCACAGTGGGGCTCACCTAACCACATTTATTGCGGTTTGGCTGAGCGTGTCACGCCGCATGTAACGCAGTGCAGTGCACTAGTTTATCCGGTCAGTGACCAGTCACAGACCGGTCAGATCGCGGGTTAGGTGGCGACAGGCGATCTGACACACGCCTCGCCCCATCCCGTCAGGACGAGGGCTTCTAGGCGCTCGTCCCCAGCTGGAGCTAGCGTGTTACCTCCCAGAGATGGCACGTTAGTCCTGGTCAGATATATGCCAGGCTTCATCCTAACCATTGCAGGCAAGATGTTGTGTGAAGAAGGGCGAACATGTAGATTGCTAAGCTGACACGTGGTGGACAAGAATGACCGACGTGACTGGTCTGACACCGGTCATGTCGTCAGCAGACAGCCACGATTCCACGTCGCACCTGCTCCCGGCGAAAGTGGAGGTAGTTGTGGCCCGTCTCATCAGAAGGTGACTCGGACGGCAACTATACAAATCTCCGTCCATTTATGAAAAGGTGGGGTAAGTCCCCACAAAAAAAAGAGAGAAATGGTGCATGTGGTATCCCCTTAAGATATAAAAGGAGGACCTTGCCCACTGAGATGGGGACTGGACTTTTCCAGATTGGGAACCCAGAACAAGAGAGAGGCTGGCTCATACCTTGTAGCTCCTTCATACGCAGATCACCCAAAACACAGGAGTAGGGTATTACGCTTCTCAGCGGCCCGAACCTGTATACACCGCCCGTGTCTTGTGTGTTTCCGGTCTAGCGAACCTTCCACATACAGAGAGCTTAGAATCTCACCCTGAGTCCCCGGCCGAACCGGCAAAGGGGGGCCTGCGCAGTCTCCCGGTGAGGAGCCTCACGCTCCGTCACTGTTGAATAAGTGGATTTTTTTTTTTTGAAAATTCTCTTAGTTGACCTAAATGTGCCGTCAGCGAAAATCTATTTTTGCTGACGAATTTCTTAGGACGCCGCTTGCGAAATTCTATTTTCGTAAGCGGACGAGGCCCACCAGCCAAAATCACAAATTTCTCTGGTCTTTGGTTATCTTCGGCTCGTTCGTCTGTATGTGAAAATTGATTTTAGCCGTCAGAAAAAAAAACGATTTTGTACTAGTGAAAGTTAAGTTAATCGACGATAGCAATTTGAACACAACCTGACGCGTTCGCTAAATCGGCAATCCGCCGTTGTCGTCTCATGGACAGAATGACCGAGAGGATGATGGCTAGCTGGTCTTTGGTTGTCGGCGGCTCGTTTGTCTTTATGCGAAAATTGATTTTAGCCGTAAGAAAAAAAAAAGATTTTGTTCTAGTGAAAGTTAAGATAATCGACGATAGCAATTTGGACGCAACGTGACGCGTTCGCTAAATCGGCAATCCGCCGTTGTCGTATCATGGACAGCAATGACCGAGAGGATGATGGCTAGGCTAGCTCGTGGTTGTTTGCTCGTGGATGGGTCGGCTCAAATAGCATACCCCGTTCAAAGTGTAATCAAATGGAAAAATATATGGTATTAAAGTAAAAATAAAAAAAATGTGATATTAAGTGAAAACTTTAAGTAAAGATTAATTTTTACCATTCTTTACATAGAGATATAATATTTTCTAGTATAAAATTTGATACCTCTGGGTAAAAAAAAATCTAGTGTAAAATTTAAGTAGTATCTTTTTAAGAACTGTAAAATTTCTCTAGAGTAAAACCGGTGTAAAAAAAGACAGCTTGAAGCGAAATTTACTTATATATATTCAGTGTTCTAAAGTAGCCCCTCACACTTTTCTTACATGCTGTTTGCCCCGTTGTGTTTAAGTAACCATAAAATAATGGGCTCTATCCGCTTTGCTGCAGAGAAGGCGAAACAACCCTATATCTTCTTGTCAATTGCGGATACTAAAAGAATATGTAGCATGGTAGCCGTCTGGGTGGCTTACCAGCAGCTCGACCTGGGTATTGGGGGATGACCCAAACTATCAAAGATTGGTGGGAGACTCTAGCTAACACGGTAGGGGTTCCTAAGAGATGTTTGCGCACCCACATCCTCCTCATAGTTTGGGAGATATGGAAGGAAAGGAACTAACGAATCTTTCAGCATAAGAAGGCCACGTTATCTTTGCTCTTCGCCAAGATAAAGGCAGAGGCGCGGTGGGCGATGGCAGGAGCAAAGCATCTGCGGGACCTTCTGCTCCTCCATGTATAATATTTAAAGTGTAAAAAGTTTTTCACTTTTCTTGTTCCTAGGGGCTGTTTTTTCTTCCGCTATATTCAAGTGTTTTCCCTTAAAAAAATAACTATAAAATTGATCGATGATCCTACAGGAAAATAATAGGTACTCCATACAAGTGATAATAAAAACAGCAAATTAGCGATCACATGTGTTCATCCTAATGGAAATGGAGGGCGTTTGCCCTTTGATCAAAAAAAAAAAGTGTTCATCGCACAGCCCACCAGGAAACACGGTTCCAGAGTCCAGAGAGCATACAGACGTGGTGGGCCCACCGGCAGCGGAACCGTGTACACGTCACACACACTCACACGAAGGACGCCTCCTTGCCGCCGTCGAACAGCGCGCCCGTCGGCCCGCCGGCCGGCAGCAGCGCCACCGCCACCACCCTGCTCGCGCCTTCCTCGGGCGTCAGGAGGCCCGAGTTCCTGGTCAGGTCGGTCTTCACGTACCCTGGGTCCACGCAGTTCACGCGCAGCGCGGGGCGCTTCCTGGCCAGGATCCTCGCGTACGCGCTCATCGCCGCCTTGGCCACCTTGTACGCCGAGAACTCCGTCGGCCACCCGCGCTCCGCCACTGCGCCGGCCTCGAAGTCTCTCACGAACATGCCCAGCAGCTCGTCCAGCCTCTCCTCGCTGAGGCTGTCGGCGTCGTTCAGCTCTCGCTTCAGCTCCTCGTTTGTGAAGAACTGCATACAGTCCTTTGTATCAGCGGTCTGGGATTGCAAGAATAAGATTGGATCGTCAGAGATCAATGGGAATCCGTTACTCTTAGCAGCCCGAAGCTTGATGCGACGTTAACGATTCTTCCATCGGAGGAGGATTGCAGGAGAGGGAGGAGTGCTTCAGTGACATTCTTCGTGCCATAGTAGTTCGTCTTCAGGCCGGCCTTTGCAGCGTCGTACGTCTGTCGGCAGTTCTTCCACATCCATTCAATTCTCTGATGCCCATCCATGCCGCTGAACTGCACCACACAACAACGAATCAATGAGACGATGAACCCTGTCCACTGTCCAGGAGTAAAACGCACGCAACTTTTGGTCCTACAGGCGTTATTACGACATTCTGGCCGTCGATTAGATCGACTGCTTTGCTTAAAAGCAGATTTGCTTAGAGGCAGAGCCGTGGTTTTCAGCACGTACGGTGGTATATATGCAGGTAACTGATAGTCTGATACTAGTACTAACCTTTTCTTCAGTGGGCAGCAGACCAAAAGATGGATCGTCAACGGGCACAATCCCACCAACGGCGGCATTATTCACCTGCAGATTAGAGCATCCAGCAACCGGTGATCATGTCAGAAGCTCAAAAACCGTATGAGAAAAATCTGCAAACGAAGACAAGATAGCTTGCCAGGATGTCCAGCCTCCCAAAGCGGGACTCCAAGAATTCGGCTAATCTGGCGATGCTGGAAGCGTCCGTGACATCCAGCTGGTGGAAGATGACACTGGAGAGCCCCAGCCCGTGGAGCTTCTCGACGGCCGCCGCGCCCTTCGCCTCGTCCCTGGCTGTCAAAACGACGGTGGCGCCGTTGCCGGCCAGCTGCCGGCACACCTCCAGCCCGATCCCCTTGTTCCCGCCGGTGACTACAGCAATCCTAGCATCGGCAACCAAACTGAATTGCAAATACTAGTACGTATATATCAGTATGCATTCTCGCTTAGCGGCCAATGGCCATTACTCAAAATTATAGAAAGTGGAGCTCAGATTCTAGTAAGATGTCCTAGTCCTACACGTACGGCAAGGGTCTAATTAATCTCTCAGTGGATTCACAATCCTTATACCGGATCAAAATCCACTCATGACTTCATGAGTGGTATCATTGAATTTTGTAAAATCCGTTGATAAACCAATAAAAAGAAGATAAAATCTGGATAAATTTTGTTAAATATCTAAAGATTCAGTTTTTTTAATTTGAATGAAAAACGAGTGATTGCGTTTTCGATCCTATCAGAAAGTTCGGATTCTACCGAAATAACCCCTTACAGAATGACAGATATCAGATACGGCGCATGCTAATATGCTGCTAATGCTAGTATGCTGCTACATACCTTGTGTGCGTGGAACTGAAGATGGTTTCTTCCATGATCGGGCAAGTCTAGCTCCAGCAAGAAGGTACTAGTAGGAGAGCTCCAGCAAGAAGGTAGGAGTAGTAGGGGATGGTTTGCTGGCTAAAGTACGGAAATGCCGGAGAGCTATCATTAATCGGGGAAAAGAAAATTGGTAGATCACATAGGATATTTGATCGAAGGTTGGAAGGGTTTTCGGATACGAATGAAAAAAAACTAATTTCATAACTCGGCTGTAAACCGCGAGTCGAATCTTTTGAGCCTAATTAAGCCGTCATTAGCACATGTAGGTTATTGTAATACTTATAGGTAATCATGAACTAATTAGGCTTAAAAGATTCGTCTCACGATTTCTATACAAATTATGCAATTAGTTTTTATTTTTATCTATATTTAATACTCAATGTATGTGTCCAAAGATTCGATACGACGTTTCGGGGAAAAAAGTTTTGGTAACTAAACCAGGCACAAATCGTCAACTAGTAGGAACATAAACAAAGCAAAATGGAGATAGGGAACGATTTCTTTTTCTTTTTAATCCCCAGGATGACAGGATCTGCAGACCGTGTTGGCAAGTTCTGACCGTCCGACGCGTTTGATAGTTTGATTTATTAGGTGGTGTCTGGATCAGGTTTGGATCCATGTAAGATCGAATATTTACCCCTAATTAGAAATATTAAACATAGACTAATGATAAAACCTATTCCATAACCTTGAATAATTCAGAAGACAAATCTATATATTGAGCCAAACATAGACTGAATTATATATGCTAATCATAGATTAATTAGGTTTAAAAAATTTGTCTCGCGAATTAACTCCCACTTATGTAATTAGTTTTATTATTAGTATACGTTTAATACTTCTAATTAGTGTCTAAACATCTAATGTGACAGGGATCCAAACACTATGACGTAGGGCCTGTTTGGGGAACTTAAGATTCTGAGAATCAGCTGGTTGGTAGCCAGCTTCTGAGAATCTGAAAAAGCTAGGAAACCCAGCTTCTGGCTTCTAGTTTATTTTCTGGATTCTACAACTAAACTTCTCAGAATCTGGACTAAAAACAGAATTGTTTAGGGGAGTTTTTAATTCTGGGAGAAGCTGCAGCAGGCAGCAGCTAAAAGCTCCCCAAACATGCCTGTAGTATAGGGTAGAGCTGGGAGCCTAGGAGATGGTCCCAGGTTACATTGGGACAATAGATAATTGTTTCTTTTAAATGGCTAGGAGTACATATTTTAACTTTGATCGCAATCTATAACTAACAAATATTAGAAAATACAATTTTTTGACAATCCAAATTATTCCACTAAACCTTGTTTGAAAAAAAGGACATTCAACACCCAAACTTATCAAACCAAACGATTAACCCTCAATACTGTTTCGGACGTTTTTGGAATGAGATGGCACACTACATGGTGTCAATTGGTAATCACTGGCAGGATTTATATAGTTATGGACTTAAGAAATGGCTAATGGTTTAGAGTGGTAACCCATAGATGCCTAATGGATTGGAGTGGTTTGGGTTACTGATCGAGCTCGTTGATTTGGTTTGGGTTAGTTATGGGTTTGATTTTTTTTCGTTTAGAAAGTTATGGGTTGGATTTTAAATTAAGTAAATTGCACCAGCGGTCCTTAAACTTGTAAGCATATTTCACCTAGGTCCACAAACTTATAAAGCGGGTATCGAGGTCCAACTTGGTTATTGTATCATTCCGGTCCAAAACCTTGTTTGATTGTGATCTTGCCTACGTGGCATATCACATGGAAGATGACATGGCAAAATTTCCCCTTTCTACCTTTTTTTTTCCTCCCCTTCTTCTTTTCTCTTCATCCACATCTGGATGTTGGTGGAGGCGGCAGTGGGCAAGAGAGAGAGAGTGAGAGATGGCACTATCCACTAGAGAAAGAGGGAGGCCGCCCCCATCTCTTATGCTCGACGACTTGGTAGGCACGGAAGCGGAATCCGCGGCGCGAACTCACCGCCCATGGCCAACAACGTCATGAGGCGCCATGGTGGTCCTCCATGCTCGACAAGCTCGGTAAGGGAGGCAATGGCGGCCAGCCTCTTGGAAGACGGATGGTTTAGGTGAAGGAGAGGGGTGCGGATGAAACGACAATGGCAGTGGCAGAGGCCCTTCCTATTCCCCTTGCCACCGCCATTTCCCCCATTTCCGCGGTGCGAGCTAGCTCTGCTAGGTCGCCACCGTCGAGGCCCTCAATTTTCCCATCTCCGCTGCACGAGCTAGCTCCGCTTGGGTTGCCCCCATCACCTCCTTCACACCGGCTAGCTCCGCTTGGGCCCTCCCCTTCCACTGCCAGCCAGAGCGAGTTGGTTGCTGAGGTGAGCGCCCCGTGCATCGACGGCCAACAGTTGTAGCAAAAAGAAAGGGGAAAAGAGAACTTCCGGTCGTTGCCGCTGCTTCTTCAAATCGATGAGACAACGTCGGCCCGGAGAAAGAGGCACCAGCGGTGAGGTTGGCCAGACGACGGAGTGGAGGCTCAGGGCCGGAGTCGATGACAGCGACCACGAGTTTCCCACCCTCTCCCTTATCTCCACCTCGAGCTGCACTTGACGGCAACCAGGAGCTCCCCGTCATTGTCATTGCTTCTTCAAATCAACTAGACAACGTTGGCTATCGGGGAGGCCACCTCATCGTTGCTTCTTCATATCCAGCAGACCCCACCTCATTTCTGGCTCGGGCCGAGGTGGTGCTGGCCATGCAGATCGATGTGACGAGGCGGGGTAGCGCTAGCAACGGGGACGAGATGGAGCCGCAGCGAGGCCGCCTCGAGGTTCGAGGCAGAGCAGTAGCGACACGGCCTCGAGCTCTTCACCATCGCCTCCGCTTCCCTCTTCTCACGTCATGATAGCCGCCGAGGAGGCCGTGGGGTGGCAAGTGAGTGGATCCAAGAAGTGGCGCCCAACCCCTGGGTGGAGTTCACCAAGAGCTGGAGAAAGAAGATGAACGATGGAGGAAGAAGAGAAGAAGGATAACAGTGGAGGAAGAAGCGAAAAGAAGGGAAAAAATGAGAAAATGAAAATTTTGGTTCTTTCCATTCTTAAATATAAGGCGCAACTATCATTAAAATATGATATCGTTTTTAAGTAACCATTAAAATATTATGTAAAACATGATAACATTTGGATATAAAATACTCTCCCAATTCCAAAATATAAGGTACACATATCACTAACACAAAGACCAAGAAATTTTCTGGTTTGGATCACTCAATAAATTTAATGCATGTAACCGATAGGATTAGAGATATTGAGAGTGGAGTATTTAAAAGAAAACAAATTAAGAAGAGGATGGGGTCATGGGGTGTTAGTTAATTGCATGTATCCGTACGTGACTTGTATTATAAAACATAAAAAATACATGATTGTGATTTATATTTTGAAATAAAGAGAGTAGTAATCAACAACAGGTATTTACGGACGGTGATAGTAAAAATTTGTCAGTGCTGTGTATATGGGCGAAAAGTTGGTGCTATGAAGACATTGGCCCCGCAGTCTTTATCTCCTATTCAATGGCTACTGCCGAATGTACCACACATATGGGTAGAAAACTGAGCTGCTGGCACCATCAGTATTCACCACCACATAAATTGCTGGGGGTACATTTCACCATTCACCACCACAAGAAACACCGGAGATATATATAGTCGTCGGTCTGGTTTTCTCAAAGAAGAGAGCATCAGCTGCATCACTGGTCGAATCAGAAACTTGGTGTGGATCGAAGCTAGGCATTTGTGCATCTGCTTGTACGGCACATAATGGAAGGAGCCACCTCCAGCCTCCCGAGCCAAAGGTGCGTACGATTTTCTTGGTAGAGACACTGTAATCGGGAGCCATGCATGGTAGTAGTACTAGTAACACGATCTGCTCTGCTTTGTCACTGGCGCACTGCCAGCGCCAGGGTTGCTGTGGTCACCGGCGGCAACAAAGAGATCGGGCTGGAGGTGTGCCGGCAGCTGGCCGCCGACGGCATCACGGTTGTTCTGACGGCCAGGGACGAGACGAGGGGCGTAGAGGCCGCCGAGAGGCTCAGAGGGATGGGCCTCTCCAGCGTCGTCTTCCATCAGCTGGAGGTCACGGACAGCTCCAGCGTTGCTCGGTTGGCTGATTTCTTGAAGACTCGTTTTGGCAAGCTAGACATACTGGCAAGCTCTCCTTCTCCTTGCTCGATCGATACAGGCATACAGCAACTACTACTAGCCTACCGCTACTCTGCTTCGGACCTGACCAGTGACAGAGAGGAGATGTGCTCTGTTTTGCAGGTGAATAATGCCGCGGTTGGCGGGATGGAGTACGCCCAAGGAGTAGATAACAACGAGGAACAGGTGAGTTCACGCATGATTCTTTTTTTTTCTGGATTATGATTTGCCATTAAAATTTTGTTCATCACCAAAAAAAAACACTGAATTGGCTCCAGCGTAGAAACTGCTTGTAAGTTGTAAGTTGCACTGAACCAAGTTTATTTGTTGACGCGTGCAACAGTTCGTTGGCATGGATGTGCTTCAGAGACTTCAATGGATGCGTAAACAGGGACGGGAGACGTACGACACTGCAAAGAACGGCGTGCAGACGAACTACTATGGCGCGAAGCATGTAATCCAAGGCTTACTGCCTCTGCTGCTGTCCTCCTCCGAGGGGAAGATTGTTAATGTCTCGTCCGCCTTAGGACTGCTAAGAGTAAGTTTCTTCAAATCGATCGTAACACATTAAAGCAGGACTAGATCTAAATCGATCGAGTTTTCCTCCCTAATTTCCCGTTTACTCCCGATAGAGTAGTTCCTCGGCAACGAGGATCTGAGGAAGGAGCTGGACGACATTGACAACCTCACCGAGGAACGGCTGGACGAGGTGCTGGCCAGCTTCCTGAAAGACTTCGAGGCCGGCGAGCTGGAGGCGCACGGATGGCCGATGGGGTCGGCGGCGTACAAGGTGGCCAAGGTGGCCATGAACGCGTACACGAGGATCTCGGCGAGGAAGCACCCAGCGCTGCGCATCAACTGCGCGCACCCAGGCTACGTCAAGACGGACCTGACCATCAACTCGGGGTTCCTGACGCCCGAGGAGGGCGCGAGGAACGTCGTGACGGTGGCCCTGCTGCCGGACGGCGGGCCAACCGGCGCGTTCTTCGACGAGGGCAAGGAGGCGTCGTTCGTGTGATGACGGCGAGGCCCAAGAAATTGAAGAACATGGTGCTTGATCTTGGGCCAGCGTTAGCGCAGTGAAGTTCGGGCCTGAAGCCCTGAATCCAGGTGTTGCTAAATTATGAACTTGTTCATTCTGGGAATAAGTCTATTTTACTTCTGATTGAATCGTCTCTCTCAACTCCCAACTCCGCTTCAGGAATTGAGTCTATAGTGGAGTTGTAGAGCTGCCTAAACCCAGCTCCATAACTCTAGTACATTTTGTGAGAGAGCCAACTCCACTTCCAGTTTTGGTCGAGCTGAAACTGTTTGGCTGAGCTCCAACTCTAGGAGGAGTGGAGCTAGAGCTGGAGCTGTGCCAAACAGGCCCTTAGAAAGCGATTTCTGCTGACGTCAAACATCAAACATCGTTCGGTTTCGGCCTACATTGCAGTAGTATTGTGTGAGCCTTCTTAGCAGAGACAGCACCACAACAAGTAGGCTGATCTAATTAGGCCTTTAGGCCCGCAGTCATGCCAGATTGGATTGAATCGAACGAAAGCGGGGTTCAGATTGGATTGAATCGAACGAAAGTGGGGTTCGGAGAACAAAACTCCGTCGCCCAAAGCAGCACAAGCTCTATCCCAACTGACGGCCACGACACTTCAAAGTCACGATGGACAAATTTGATCCGATTGCTCTGAGTCACCATGACCATGTAAATTGATCCTTCACCGTTCACCTAAACGTGGTTGGTGAAAGAGACTCCGATCTCGGTTTTTTTTAAAAAAGAAGAAGACGACTCCGAGCCTGCATTTCCATGGGGTCGGAGAATAAAGCAGCAGTATGTCCTAATGTTGTGGAATACGGTATGGTATGCGGATGTCGGACGGAGAGGGTACCGCTAAACGATTAATCAGAATTTAACAGAAATTCAATGTTTGCAAATACATGTACGTAGTTGATAATAGTTTGCCTCTTTTAGAAGGGGAAATACATGATATGACATTAACTTCACATCTATTTGAGATTTTTTTTTTTCTTCTCGAGACCTATTTGGAATTTGAACAAAAGATTAACATAAGATCTTGGACATCATATTACATTTGAAAGAGGATTAGATGGAAAGAACATGTTGCTGTGAGCTGCGGGAAATTTGGAACAGCAAATATACAACTATATGCTAGAGAACACAGTAATGGGTTGGATTGCTGTGGGCTGGGCCATGTAATAACGGTGATTATACTGTCGATTAGTCAGAAAACTAGTCACTAATTACGGGGTTTACGCGTTCTTTGCCGATTAATGAAGCCCGTATCACCTTGTCGTGACGGACTGCTCACCGTTTCCGAATTAACGGACGTACTATCCGTTTTCCACAACACTGGTCTATCCTGGACTCCTGGTCCGCATACCCAACTGATGGCACATCGATGCCTCCGTGGCATACTCCCTCCGTCCTAAAAATACTCAACTTCTATGATTTGAATTTTGTCCCATAAAAAAAGCTAACTTCTATAATTCTACCTACTCTTAGCGTATAAAATAATAAGTTTTATCCCTTCAATACCCTTTACCTACCTATTACTCTTACTACTATTTTTAATGATTAAGGGTATTTTAGTTATTCTTTATCTCCACTAATTTTTTCTTGAGATGCTAGAAATGGATTTTTTGTGGGACGGATGGAGTACGTCAGATGACAAGGATACACATACACCAAGCATACGAGTACGAGTGAAAGACCAGCGCCAAATCATGTTGACATGTTGTGTCGTCGCTCGCAGATTATCAATGGCTACACAGTGTACACCCTGGTTACTGCATGGCTGATATTAACTACCACGCCGGAGAGCTGACGGCGGAGGAGGGTGCCAGTAGCATTGTCATGGTGGCCATCTCGCCGGCAGGTGGGCCGACAGGTTTGTTCTTCTACCATAACCGTCGTGTAACCCTTCAAGTGAAGTAGTTTACTGAACAATGCAGAGGATTATCAGTTTGTGAAAGCATCCCGTAATATAATTTACTTTCTATTACGTTTGTTTAGTGTTTTGTGCACATCAACGGAGACGAGGATTAAGACTCAATTAGCAGGGTAGCTAAAGAACATGATGTTAGAAGGATAAGGTTGCTAGGAAGTATGATCAATTCGTAGTAGTTACAGAAATTACAGATTTTTCACAGGAGGCTGGCAGTCAGTCGCATGCCATTGTTGTCAACCTGCCATTTTCATGAGCCTCCTATGAAACGAAGGCGTACACTTACAGCTTGACAGACTACTCGCACACAGGGAGGATCACGAGCAAAAAAAGAGGAGGGAATAAACAACCGTTGCAAAATTAGTAAACAGAAACTCCAGAGATCCGTGTATCACCGTATGTGTTTGGCTCGTTTCGTAGTCCTAGTTGTCCTCTCTATTTTCGTCTGGCGGCGGCGGCGCCGGTTGCTCTTCGGGCACCACTTCCGGCAACACCTCCTGGGACTCGCTCTTCTTCTTCATGTGATTGTAGCTCCCTTTCTCCATGAACAGCTGCCCGAAGTGTATCTTGCAGTACAACACCCCGTTGAGCGCCGCGTAGGAGGAGGTGGTCAGGATGCAGCCTCCATGAGAGCACTTGAAGCAGCTCTTGTGGTATGACTCACCTTCCAAAGTTAGCTGAATAAAACAGGATAGCGTGGCGTCATATTGTCATTTCCAAAAGTAACATGCAGAAAATTAAATCATTTATTCAGAGGCAAATTAATTGGGCTGTAACTTTTTCTCTCTTTTTTCACTTTATGTCAGTTGATGGTTTTGCAATTGGAATCCATTATGGTTCAGAAAGTTCAGCAGTGTTGACATTTGTGAAAGAAGCAGAAAAGGTTCATGAAAAACTAATGGGTTTCTCCAATGGAAGTGGGAGGTTGGGTTAAACCTTCTGACGTTTCTTACAGAATTTTCATTTGAGTAAAACAGCATTGCAGCGTGTACCTTTTCTAGTGGGTACACTGTTTTCTGGCAGGCTGCACACTTATCCTGAGTTCCAGAAAACGCTGAACATATCTTGCTTGGGGCCCTTGCCTGTGCAAAGCATTTGGTCCAGTTACCACAGCTGGACAAGAGAAATGAAACAGAGAAATGCTAAAAGGTGACAGTTTCGCGGGTCTACTGTACCAGTTCCTTGTCTGTAGATCTGCAACCTGATCAAGTAACACAGTAAACTGTCAAGATCAATAAGCCTTTTTGATATGAAACCAAACCTCTCTACCCGCAGTACATTACATTACCTGGCGCGAACTTCTTGGAGAAGCTCCCCGTCTCCTTGAAGAGCTGCTCAAAGTGGGTCTTGCAGTAGAGGACGCCGTCCATGGACGAGTAGCTGCACATCTAAGATCCCACACAAGTTAATCAACGTGCCTCTGCAGCGCGCGATCACAATTAACCATGTGAGTTACGATCGATTTCCCACAGGGAAAAAGAAAATCTGGTGTTGTTGAGCGTTACCGAGAGAATCCCTTTGCAGTGGCTGCACTTGAAGCAGGTCTTGTGGTACGGGACGCCGTCGGCGGTGAGGAGGTCGATGAAGTGGACGGTCTTGTCGCACGCCGTGCACTTGTCCTGCGTGCCGGTGAAAGACATGGTGGCAAGAGACGACTGTCGACGATCGACGACGCACGCACGCCCGCCCCCTCGCTGTTCCCTCTCCTTCCGGGGCGCGAGGAGCGAGTTGATATAGACGAAACCGCTCCAACGGGGGGCTCCCGGGGATGGCAAAGGAACGGGAGCGAGCATAGGGGGCGGGCGGTCTCTGCGCCGCACAGACTTCGTCAAGAAACGCTTGGTTTAGAGGGGATGTGGATTTTAAGCGCATGCATGTGTTCTCGTTTGTTGCATGTGGTTTTCAAACAGTACTGGAAAACTAGGTTATTGTATCGGATTTTCCTCCGGCCAACTTGTAAAATCAAATATAGTACATAGGGGGAAGTATTATTAATACCCAGATGTAATTACACTCAAGTATATGCACGTTGTATAATTAATTAATTAAAATTTTGAAAAAAGAATAGCAAGATATGTTATGATAATAATATAAGTTAGACATAAGCATGCAAATACAAATTTGATCTACTCTTCAAGAAATAAAAATAATAAATTTTATCTGCATTCGCTGTTAATTTTTATTAATTTTGTTTCTTAGGATAAATCATACTCCCTCCATCTAATTTTAATAGTAATATTTCTAAATATGAAAAGTTTATTTTTGATACACATATTTCAATCCAACAACCTATCCTCTTAATAACTTTCTCGGATTTCCACACAAGATTGGTTACATGGGCATGGAGAAATGTAAATATTAATGAATGCTTGTTTACGAGGAATAACTAGTAGCATGTTTAAATAGATGATAAGTAGAATTACTTATCATTGATCTGTGTGCCAAGATAAAATATGACTATCAAAAGTAGATAAGTAGATAGAGAGAGTATTTAACTATGCATGTTGGTACATATGCTTCTAACATCAAAATAATCTAAAATATTTTTCAATTTTTTATAACTATTTAGTCTGTATGCAAGTAAAGGGTGCAATTGCACCTAATGTATCTTTTTTTTTTACGGGAATAGCATTCTTTCGCCTAGTGTAGAAAATCCATTTCTGGACTCGATTTTTTTATTTGCAGGATTAGTGTAGAAAATCAATGTCCTAGACCCCTAGTCCAGAGTCCAGACATGTATATATTAATTAATTAAAATTATGATAATAATATATAGCAATGAAAATTTTAAAAAAAACAAATCTGAGTGCTCATTTCGCCTGTTTTATTGGCCCATTAGTTTGGCCCATGGATGATAGCCTGCTAGGCCCATGGCACAAAATCTCTCGCGTCTTTCTTTCAAGTGAGGCAAGAGAGACTTGTAATTTGCCATACTATAATTTATACTTCTTACTCTAAACGCAGAAAAAAAATTTCTGCTCTTTGTTCTCCTGCAGGATTCGTGCATGCATGAGTTCCCTTTCAGGAATAAAACTGAAAAGTCATTGAAGAGGATCTGCAAATTAAGGATGAATGCAGGGGTGAATGATGATGCTTGGATAGCTCGGAACGTCAAGCCAGAAGTAAGTGCCAAATAAGGATTAAGAAGGTATTTTAGTGTTGATCTGTCTCTGTTAATCCACGTAGAACGCATCAAAACGAGCATTCTACTGGTCC